AACACCCCTGACCTCAAATTTCCAGTACTCTGAATATCTCTGACTGCAACTTGCCCTATGGGTCCAAGTACCTAACAATCATATACTTACCCAAAGCCTGTACTATAGTATCCAAAACCCAAGTACCTACTTATTGGGCACTTGGACCCTCTGGGTGGTCGAACTTCTGAGTCCCTTCTTTTGATAAGGATCCCAGCCTGCTGAAACGATTTTGCAAGGGACCCCAGTTGTCAGAAACAGCCTCCAGCCTAGGGTCTTAGGGTTCAGGGTTCAGGGTTTAGGGTTTAAGGTTCAGGGTTCAGATTCAGGGTTTAGGGTTTAAGGTTAAGGGTTTAGGGCTCAGGGTTTAAGGTTTAGGGTTTAGGGAGACAGACTCCATTTTGCGCCCGAGCGACTGAATTTCTAGCGGCACTTGCCAAGAAATCGATTGCTGGCTGCAGGCAAGAGAACCTAGTTAAGAGTGGAGCACCTTGCAAACTAAATGAACCCGAAGTGGGGTTACTACCATACATGACATACTTTAAACCATGTTGTCCCTAAACCCTAGACCCTCCATGTTTTCCCTCAATGGATCCCAAACCATGCAAGGTAACAATCTGGCTCGTCCGCATTGGTCTGAATCTTTGGGCGGCTTAGGGATGTAATTAGGGTTCAGGGTTTGATTTTACAGTTTCGGGGTTTTGGGTTTGGGATTTAGGATTGAGGGTGTTGGTTGAGGGCATCCTCTGTAGGATTTCCAATCTTAACCCTGCAGCACTTAGCACATTGCTGCAATGTAAGCTTTCTACGTCGCCGCTACCCCTGCATATGCTGCATATGCCTAGAAAACTTACAACCTATTATAGTCCGTCTATAAGCCTAGCCTATGTAAACTGTTTGTAATAAAAAAAAAACCTTGTAAAATCCCTATACACCCCAAACCCTAGTCCCGAAACCCTAAACCTATAGACCCTGAAGACTCCCTATAAAGTCCCTACTGTTGATACTGAAAAACCTATATGACCTCAGTATGCACTAGTACCATACTTCTCAGATATAACTTAGTTAGGATCAATCCTGAACACTAAACCCCTAAACCCTAAATATCAATCCCTAACCTAAATCCCTAAACCCTAACCCCTAAACCCTTAAACCCTAAACCCTTTACCCCTAAACCCCTAAACCCTTAGACTCCAACTTAGGGTGATGCAGGATTTTCAGTATCCACCGTAGAAAGCCTGGCTCTTCTGCACTGTCAGCCTCGGCCTTTTCTTCGGGCATGCTCATTCCTATTCCCAGACCTGTGGGGTTTTGGGGTTTAGGGACTGGGGTTTAGGGATTAGAATTTAGGGATGAGGGATTTAGGGTTAAGGGATTAGGGTTTAGGGATTAAGGTTAGGGATTGAGGTTTAGGGATTTTGGGGTTTAGGGATTAAGGTTAGGGATTGATGTTTAGGGTTAGGGATTAGGGTTTAGGGACTGAGGGTTTAGGGATTAGAGATTAGGGTTTAGGTTTTAGGGTACAATTCCTTGACCCTTAAAAAAGGGGCGCAGATGTCAAAATAGCAGGTGTGCAAATAGCTGTGTTGTAGACCCCCGAGCCGGACTATGATAGGATCTTGAGAGACTTAATGGGGCTTAGTTTAGGATGAATAAGTTATAGGGGTATATAAGGATATGTTGACCCCCTGCAATGGAGATTAAATTCAGAATAAGGCAGAAAACTAAATAGACATGGGGATTATGGCAGAAAAAAAAAGAGTTAGGATATGAGCTACAATCAATATTTCTCATATCTATTAGGGGATATATTCGGGACCATACTAAACTACCAAAGGGAACCCTGCCTCCACCCTAAATGGTCCCTCGGCAAGCCTAAGCCCTAAACCCTAAAAACCCTCACGCCCAAATCCTAATCCCTAAACCCTAATCCCTAAACCCTAATCCTAAACCCAAATCCCTAAATCCTAGAGACTCTCTTAAAGGTCCCGTGAAAAATGCTATTGACAGTAAAGTAGCTCCTATGGGTGATTTCAGACCAAGGCTTTTGGCAGAAGCTTGTAGGGTTTAGGTTTAGGGAAACTGCCATACCCAACGGGTCCGAAGGATCTATATAGTACAACGTAGGGCTTCTATACTACAAGGGTTTAGGGTGTAGTAGCATAGTTGGGGTCCGTACCCCCTATCTAGATACTGAAGATCCTTTAGGATACAGGGCAACGGAAGAACAAAAGCTACAGCACCATGCTAGTTAAGGTTATGTGGTATTTGGGAGGTCGACCGTCTCTGTATACCCTACCACGTGGGAGAGGACGGATGGGCCCTAAGCCCTAAGCCCTAAACCCTAACGCCAGGGTTTTATGATCGGCTGCTCAAGGTCCGAGGTCACAGGCCTACCTCCGAGGTCACAGGCCTACCTCCGAGAGGAAGTCTGCAGGATCCAAGAGAACTTCGTAAAGCACCTCCGAAGCAATTACGGCTTAGGGTTTGGGAGCTTCCGAATCCCAAAGCTAGGAATGAATTCCTTTTCGGGTGTCCCCATGACAGGAGTTATAGTACTTTGGGATCTATATCAGGGTCGGCAAATAGATAACTGCAGCATGCGCGCATGGCTTCTATTCCTGGTCTCACAAGCTGGATGCCAAATATACAATGACACTCACCAATAATCAAAACGCACCATGCACAAATTCACCCAAACCCACAATCAACGCCCTACCTCATGCACGCATATGCTTATGTAATACGTGGATTTTGTAAGTTATCCAAAGCCCAAATTTGGGACCTAAACACAATCATATGATAGATAGAGGGTCCCAATTTGGAGGATTGGGTTTGCTAACACCCTGTGATTCGTATAACTGCATGTGCATGTGCAGACTGATACGTATGTGTGTTGCTAGAGGCCTGTATTTGTGTGTGTGTGCACATAGACTTGAGGAAAGAGAAACTTGCAACATATCTATGGGAGATGGAGATATGACAGAGTTCAAACTCACTGAACGCAGTCGTTTTGGCCATACTAAAGGATACATCCGCACAAGGAGGATCTACAAAGCCGGCTCTTTCTTGGCAGGCATGTCTCTAAGGCTCCATGTCTATAAATAATACCTACATTGGGCCCCAAAGTCTATAAATATGACCCACATGGGGCTATTTCGAGCCTTAGGGTGTTACTAAAGACGTGCAATAGATCATTGCAATCATGAGGCAGCATGCGCTACAACTGGAGGGAAACGTGCCGCACATGCATCCCTAAGCCCTACACCTTGAACCCAAGAGTCTAAATTGGTTTAGGGTTTAGGGTTTAGGGTCTAAATCCCGAGTGGTCCTTGCAAAGACCAGAACCCCAAAACTCAGGCTGGCTTGCTAGAAATGAAGCTGAAGGAAGATGGCCAGAGCCTCAGGGTTCAGGGTCTAGGAGAACAATGTAGCGCAAGCGTACATGGTTGCTAGTAGTATTCCGCGAACATGTCCAACAATGGGTTAGTCAAGGCCTTCAAGACCCACCACAGTCTGACCCCTTGAGATTTGCGAGATGGAACCCTAAACCACAACAGTTAGCCTCATATGTTCGACCCATCTCTTTATACATAAAACGCCAAATCTCGAACTATGAATCCTCGAGCCAGTATGACCCTTGGCATGGTCCAAATCAACCCACTCCAACCCAAGATCCTAAATCCTCCCCTAAAAACCTTAACCCTAAGTACCCTAAGTTCTGAACCCTAACTGCTAAAGGCCTGAACCCTAAACCCTAAGCCCTAAAGCTCTTAACCCTAAGCCCTAAAGGCCCTAAAGCTAAACCCTGAACCCTAAAACCTTTAATCATGAATCCTAGAGTCCTTAACCCTAAACCCTAAGCCCTAAACCCTAAAACCTAAACTCTAAACCCTAAAACCCCTGACCCTAAACCCTAAATCCCCTAAAATCCACTGACCCGCCTTGTCCGGCAACCCAGCTCCTGTTAGGAGGCCGCGGTAGCGCGAATCTGCAACCTGCATCTGCCATGTGGGGCCTTTGGTTTAGGGTTTAGGGTCTAGGGTTTAAGGGTTTAGGGTTCAGGGGTTCAGGGTTTAGGATATATGGGGTTGTTTTAAAGGTCCTTGTAAAGAAGGGACCATTGGGAATACACTTCCTAAAAGGAGATTCTCACCAAGCAGGGAACCTACATTATGGCCATTTTGTGGACAGGTATATTGAACAACTACCATAAAAGGTTTATACAGGGGTAATATGGGGATAAAGGAAAAGAAAATGGAAATTACTATTTATATACTAGGCTATATATTTATATCTATACTTATATCTATATATATATATATACTTGGGGAGGGCGTTGGTAGTTCGGGTTTTAGGGTGATTGTTTGAGGTGGCTAGGTGGTAAATGGGTATTTTCTGGTAAAGTGGTGCTTGTGTGAGGGGGCTAAGTGGTAAATGGATTTGGGTGATTTGGGGTGTTTTCTGTTAGCGAATTTGCTTCTGCCCTTGCCTAGCTTCAAAGCCCCCCTCTTCAAAGGAGACACCGTCGAGGTTCACATTATCCCCCAGAGAGACTTCCAGCTCTATTGACGGGAGGTCATCTCCGTACAACACATCAACATTTTCAGACAACTACCGTTCTCCATGCTTAGATCTGCGTAGCGAAACTTGGGACAACAAAAGGCCAAGTTCGGACAAACAAATGCAAGCCTGCATAAAAAGGAACTGTAGAAACATGATGAAATGATCTGTTGTCCTTCTTGTGTTCTGACTGGCATAGAATTCGGATGTAAGCAAAATCACAACTTTGAGAAGCTAAAACGTCACACCGTATCCCAAGCCGCAATCTCATGTTTTGAAGCATAGGTAATCGGGGAAGTCGAAGATATCTGGACCGCCTGAAGGCTGCCACTGCTTCGTTTGGAGGAGGTTCAACACACATGGTACCCCATGCTGCCAGGAACCCGAGAAACAGCGCTGTGCAAAGCGCGTTAGATTTGATGACAACGCTAGAGCCATGGCTGGTTGGCTTGGCCAGACTAGCCAGACTGTGCGCAATCATTCAAAGGAGCAAAGCTCTCAACCGCGCACACAAGGATCGCGCAGAAGAGGATGGAAACAAAGAAGACCCCCATGAACCTGTTGTGAAAATGCTCCTCTTCGGTCTCTGTTTTGCCCCTCATCTTCTTCACTTTGTTCTTCACACGCTGGCTGCTCGTATAGCGGAAGAGCGTGTTGTCCATGTCGTTCACAAAGCAAAAAGCCACAGCGTTTGCTAACACATCACTTGGCCTGTCGCTGAGGGCCACAAAAAGGACTGCAAGCACGATGAAGACAATCACCACCGAGGAACGTACATAACAGAGCGTCTTCAATTTCCATCTGTAGTCCTTCTCGACCAGACCATCAGCGACCGTCCAAAGCTTGTAGGAATCCCGGAGCTCGATCCTTGGCTCCGTTTAAGATACTTCAAGCACTCCCTGAAAGGTTACTGGATTTGAGAATTTTCGCATTGTTCCTTAAGCGAGCCCGAGCATCATCATTTCCGTGGCACAAATCATGGAACCCACGAGGAGGAGCTGGAAGGATGCTGCGGTTCGCGTGCACCGCTCGCTTGCCCAGTGCCGTGAGACAACACCCAACAGAGTACCGAGCATGACCAGCCTGGGAGATCCACTAAGATCAGCTCAGCTTTCCTTTAACCCTCAACCTCCTACAAACCCTTCACCTTTCCCCTAAGGGTCCAAGTACCTAACAATCATATACTGACTCAAAGCCAATACTAGAATTATTATTACCCAAAACCCAAGTACCTAACTATTGGGTACATGGACCCTTTGGGCACTAAAATAAAAATTTCCGAGAGTCTGACAGACCCAAAGAAAGGCCAGGCCAAGTCCGGTCCGGACCGTGTCTGCAGGGGTCTTCTGAAATGGCGGATCTTCTTCGTCTTCGCGTTGCATAGTTTGAGTTGCTCTGCTTTTACTTTGTAGTTCTAAAACTTCTTGTGGATCTTCAGTTGCTTGGTGTCTGCCTTCCCCGATGCCGAAGAAAACCAAGACGAAAGCTGAATACACGTCCTCCGGCAACTCCACCAAGTGTTGTTCCTGCCGCACTTTGCCGAATCCCACAGAACCACTAGCGGTACACGCTTGAGTTATTAAGATTTATGGCCAGTTATGGGTCCAAGCTTGCATTCCATCATGAACCCTAGACCACGCGCTCCTCAGACGTGGCACAACATTGTCGAGCGTTGCTCTGGCCCAGGATGCCCGCAAAACAGCATCGTAGAGGGGCCACGTTGTCCTTGTCCAGGACGCTTTGTGAGACTCAGAATTTCTCAATACCCTGAACCTCAAGCTGAAGCTTCTCCGTATACTCATGACCGTAAGCCATTAGACCTGGCTCTTACACCGTAAACAAAACTTGCGCGGCAGTTCTGGATGAAATCGACTCTTGGTCTGGAATCCTATTCTCCCTCCTGGAGCTCAAGGTCTTGATCGCTGCCACCCAAGAATTTATGACCATATGCACAGGCTGGAAGCTTACTGGGCCCGCTATGCAGTCTCGTCGACACCCTTTCCCTCGAAGTCCGAACCAACAATCCTGACCTGCCGGACAACCTTCTACAGCTCCTGCGCTCCAGGAAGCCATTGGTAGCACGCCTCTGCCATCAGCCAAAGCCTTGTCAAAGCAGGATCGCATGAGACATGGATGATGACTCTGGCAACGCTTGTGTTGCTTTTGGTACTGCTACTACTGCTCTCCTTGCAACCAACAATTAAAGTGCACATTAGGGCAGCTTGAGTTGAACGGACAACTGCTGCTGCAAGTACGCTTACGACTTCTGTTTCTACTACTACTCCTCCTCCTGCTGCAGCTGCTACTGCTACTGCTGCTGCTGCTGCGACGACCACGAAAACAACTGTAGACAACTGCGCGTGCAATTCATTTGCATACTTCCGCCTGCTGTTATCACTTTTCGAGATGCGCATGCCAATTCGCAACCATTTTCCGAACTTTCTTGCCTTTCCGCGACTAATCATAATCGACCGGCCCCCGACTACTGATTTGTTGACGACGGATTCGGACAGGATCCTAGAAACTGGGGAAATCTAAACCTGCTTTGGACCACCAGACCTCGGCTGCTGCCTCAACAAAGCCTGCAGTTGGACGTGGCCACTTTGGGCGACAGCGTGCTCGAGCAAGATATTGCGAGCGGCACGCATCGACTGAGCCAATCAGTATGTGACATGACATCTGGCTGGCACCTAGACCTATTCGCGTGTGCTGCATGCCGCAGGCAACCAGCCCCTCTTTGACTATCTCCATTCTGTGTGGGCAGCCCCGGAAACTAGAGGCCTGACCACATCCTGAAAACATGCACTCCCCGAAACTAGATTGTGCAAAAAGGTCCCGCATCGCGTGGTACTTGTTGAGTCCCTCGAGAACTGTATAGAGCTGTACGAGCCAGCGTTTTCAGACCATGGTTACGGGAGCTGAGCGCAAAAGAGATCGAAGGTTTGGAGAATTGTAACGTTCCAGCTGTCAATGCTAACAACCTTCTGCTTGCACTTTGACGCCGGCTTGCACATGTCAAAGTACTGTGGCCTTAGACTCTTCTGGTCTGACGTTGTGCTCAACAATCCTTGAGGACTGGCATAGGCAGGTTCTACTTCCCTGTTGACCGGCTTTTCTCAGACACCATTACTGCGGGTCGCAGGGGTTCCCTACGACCGACACTTACTCTGAGATGTGGGGAGGAAACCCTAAACGCTAAACCCCTCTGCAGCAGTGCTGGAGTAGACAAGGCGTTAGAGAAGCATTTTCGGCTCTTTCGGTGTGCTGCCCAAACTTGCCGACAGTCCTGCTGGGATTTATCGCAAGGTTGGCCAACTGTCCAAGGCGTTGAGGGCACTCATCAGGTCCGCAGCATGAGCGGCCTAGTATGTGTGTGTATATATATGTATATGTTACATAGGGTTTGTATAGTTTATCTGGTACTAGGAATTGTAGTTTGGGTTCGGGGGCAGGATAATAAAATTGGGTACTACAGCGGCCTACCTAATTGCCAATATCCTGCTGAAGTCTGTCAAAGGTGCCCTTTACTTCCTCTACTAGGACTCCAGGACCAGAAAATTGGTAGTTTAGGCCTATCATTTAGGGTCTAGGGTTTAAGGTTTAGGGTTTGCAGCTTAGGGTTTAGTGTTTAGGGTATTAGGCCCCTGTATTCCTTGGACCCTTAAAGTCATCCGCCCTAAACCCTAAACCAGCCGCTTGGACCTCCTCCTCCACGGCTGTCGGCAACTCGCCAAGCATCGCGGCAGGAAGCTGCTGGCAGCCAGAGATGCTCGAGAAAGTCTTATACCTTTCCAGGGAGCCCAGGGTTTCCGGTTTTGGGTTTAGAGTTTATAGTACAAGGAGTTTGGTAACCCCAACCCCAAAAATTAGGACCATGTAACCATCATATGATAGTCATAGGGTCCTAATTTTGGGGGTTGGGGTTACCAAAATCCTTTTATTAGTTTTGGGCCAGGGAGCCAAGGATCCCTGAAGTAAAGGATACCTAAACCCCCAAAGTAGGTAAAATAATGGCCCAAAACCCCTAAATATAGCCCAAAAGGCCATTATTCTACATACTTTGGGGGTCCAGGTATACCTTATGACATAACTTGTGATGACTTCCGCTATGTAGTATCATATAAGGTCCTATACCTTTGAAAGGGCGCACAACAACCCTTCAACTATGCTATCACTGCTTGTTATTGTTAGTCTTACTATATTGTTGTTAACTATTCGTTCTTGTTGTATTAGTTTATCAATTCCATTATTCCTATTATGACGATTCTTAGTACGATTGTTAATATGCTTATAAACTAGCACTATTAAGGAAACTCCTGGTGTTACACTAGTGGTCCTCTCCTACATAAGACCTTCGAAGTTCTCATACTTTCACAGAATGCCTAAGACATGCTTAGGGTTTAGACTGTACGGCTTCGGTGTTTGGGTTATTCTTGGCTCAGTAAGTGGTTTTCTTCAAACCCTAAACCCTAAACCCTAAACCCCTACACCCTAAACCCTAAACGTTTGATTTACGGTTTCTAACCTTCATTGAGGTGTACTAGGCCCTGAAGGCTTCAGGTTCCCTCCCCTACTGACCTACCGGTGCTTTCAGGTTGCCTGAGGGGCTGCACCACCACGATACTCCGTAGGTACTGCTACATACACTGCATAGTAAAACCGTAGAACCTACATTAGAGTTTCTGAAACAGTCTCTATCAAACCGCAAGCAAGGACTTCAACATTGTCTACATGAGCTATAGTCTAAACTCCTAGTATCCCACTTAATAACCCCTATAATAGTCCCCTATATAACCCCCTATATGACCCCCTTTAAGGAGTTTAGGCTATAGCTCACATGATCCCTGTACATCCCTTGGGGTCCCTAGGAGCGCTCCGTTTTGAGAAATCTAACACCCTACATAAACCCGAAAATCTCCTGGCACTTATAGTCCCCCTTAAGTAGGTAGAATATGGCTTTGGGTAGATTATAATGAGATCCACATATATCCAATATTCTATCTACTTAAGGGGGACTATACCCAAAAAAGGCCAGCAAGTTTCCAAAAGGTAGCACTTACAGGATAGCGTCTTATGGTTAAAGGTTTGTTAGGGGGGGAAAGCCAAATACGTAAGACTGTGCTTGCGGAACTTCGGATATGAACATGGGGCCAACTCATGCAGGGAAACTCCTCATGCTCCCTGCCAGGTCTCTGTGTACTACACCCTTTTGCCAAAGTCCTGTGTCTAATTTTGCATTCCGTTCGAAGCCCTCTGAAACGTATCCTTATCGGAAAAAGAAAACACCAAAAAGGTCCTGATAGCAAACTCAGACCAGGAAACTTTGCCCTAAACCATACACCCAATACCCTAAACCTAAACTAAAACCATACACCCAATACCCTAAACCTAAACCCTTAACTCTACACCCCCAACTCCTAAAGTGCTGAGGAAGCCACACCGGATTCAGAGTCTCGTTATGGTTTGAGATCTTGCTCTGATCGACCTGCAAACTCCACCAGGATGGTCCAACAGGGTTTAGGGTTTAGGGTTTAGGATTTAGGGTTTAGGGTTAACTACTTGGAGTCTCTCCCAGGACCTTCCTTGTACCCTTAATTGGGGATATATGGTCCCTAATAGTGGGTACTTAGGCCCTAATAGAGGGTAGGAGGAAGGTCTAGGTCTTGACTTAGGGTTTAGGGTCTACTTAGTCCCGGGGGTTATGCGGCGTCTAATGGGGGTTCCTGGGGGTGTTCAGTGGGCTTAATCTTGCATCAACTAATATAACCCCAATTGGGGGTGCTAAGTAGTGCAAGATTTCTTGCCTTAAGCCAAGGGACACCGCCAGGTGGGTCATGAGCAGGTGGGCACCCCACGAAAGGCTAAGGCTCGCATAAGGGTACTGACGTTATGATGGGTTTAGGGTTTAGGGTTTAGGGGAGGTCTATACAGGCCTCCCCCGTGGGTGCCCAACTGATAATCATCTACCTGGACATGTCCATGAGTTCAGGCTTTATGGCTGGGGATTTCGGGCTTGGGGTTTGGGCTTTGAGGTTTGGCAGCCAAGAGAAAGAAGGGCTATCCTAACGTTGAATTTGAATCGAAAGCCATTGGCCATAGCTCTTCTTTTGCTCCCTTTTTTCGTCTCGCAGACCGGCACAATTGAACAAGTCTTCGCTAGGAGGCTCTGTAAACCCTGGGTCTTGGCCTTAAGTCCGAGAAGCCAGGAAACCTACAAAGTCGACACTACTAGCTGGCTTACCATCATCATCGGTTGTACCAATATCAAATCAAAATTCCTACAGCCCACGAATCTGTAATGCAAAGTTGACTGAAGCTCGAGAACGAATTCACAGCCCAAGCATGCCACTTCTCTCGGCCTCCTACATAAATTTAGGACCTGGAAAACACCTGCCTCCCATTTTACATCTTGCACGGCGTAGGGGCTCTTGGATTTCGCGCACCCTCAACATAAACCCCAACGTTTACACTGAAGGTGGTGCAGGTTTTCTTCTGTCTGCTGCAGATCTTGCGGGGCATTGGCCCC